GGAAATTAGAGCCGCTAGAAAAGAGTCGTCAGTTTCAGTTTAATTCCTACGCAGTTTTTTCTGGCGGGATTAGCTGCATGAAATTTTAATAACCGTTGGAAAATCGCTTTTCTGCCGAAAAAATTCTTCGGTATTGGACGATTTTCCTGTAGTAGAAAAAACATATATTATTGCCAATCTTCATGAAGTTAATTTAGAGAATCCAAACTTGAGAACAAATTCCATGTTGTAGATTTCTCACAAATCTCTCTGAGCATTGTTTGGACAAGCCTAGATCCATGAGTATGCAATGCTTGGCTTAATAAAATCATATAAATACCAAGATCAACATGCAATAACCAAAAAAAAAGTACGCAGCTCATCTTTATCTGATGGTCTGGTCGGAAGCTTTGGCTCCATCTATAAGCTGAAAGATTTTTGGTCTAACATACGTGAATATATACATGCATGAATTTACGATTAAATTTGCTGAAAAAGAAAGAAAGCATTCCTAACAAAATTCATAAACAATCAAGAATTGATAGGAATGAAACTCTAAAATGACTTGACAACTAAAAAGGGTACCAGGGAGTTATAGTGGGCAAGGCCCTTGTCACTTTCAAAAAGATAAGGTCAAATCCTCTTCTCACCAAAAGCAAATATAGAACCAAACCCATTCGATTAACAGATATCTTATTAGGATAAGGTGAAAGGGTGTTGCAAGCTGTCTCATTGCCTGCTGCCTGTTTGCTGATTTATTATTATGTGTGGAGTCCAGAGGGCGTCTTGAGACCAATAAAAATATGACACGTCACCTCAAAAATGTATCACCGCTCGGTACCGGACGGTCCACATAGAATAACAGCTCCTGTTTGCTGAAGCCTGCGCTTCTGCATCACATGGATCAACCACAGCAGCAGGTTTGCTCTCACTTTCTTTCATCAATCGATCTTCACCTACCATTTCTGTTTGTTTATCCCATTTCTTAGGAGTAATCAATTCAGAAATATGGAAGAAATTTGCTTTGAATGAATATTATGGTTGTCCAAATTTCAAAACTGTTAGAATCGTCATATTGGTTGGTTTCATCTTCTATAATCACTGAATCCTTCCGGAGCTCTTCAATCAGTCTTTTATGGAGTTTTGATCACGGAGATGTTAAGTTTGAACTGATACTTGTGGCCATTCACTTAACTAACTTAATAAAATACTGCTTGCACTGCCTAAAATTACTTCCAGAGAAAATATAATAGCCAGAGCTTGTTTTTTTACAGGAAAATTTACAAAATGTACTGAGATAAAAACATAACAATACATGTCAGATCCTTTTTCTGATGCTTCTTCTATCGACCAGCATCAGCGGGGGATGAGGCGACAGTTTCTCGGATTTTAAAGACGTGTAAAAACCCGGTTCAAATGTTCTTAAACGTGGTACTTTTTCAGCCACTAGCCCCAAACGAGCCAATAAGTTAATTTGAGATAGCTTTTATTTGGCTTGCCTCGTCATTAAAAAGAAATTAAATTAGAAAACTTTTTTAATTACTAAAATTCATCACCATCATAAACTTTATCTTATCTTAATTATTTAGAATTAATTTTTTTTCATTTTTATTAAATATTGTATGATTAATATCATGATTAATTGACAAGTTGTAGGCTGGTTGTTTACTATCTAATGCAACCCTCTATTTTTCTCACTCAGGAGTTGGCACCTCGTAACGACAATGCAGGGTACTAACACTATCTCCTATTCTCTTGGTTATTCTGTCCTCATGGCTTCTTTACTAGTTCAAATTTGCTTGGCATTAACTCGGGTTTAGGTTTGTGTTCAATAATTTAATCAAATCAAGCTAAAATCTAAGTTGAATTAAGCTCAATAAGACTCATTTGGACTCTATTAGCATAAATGGCTATAGTTAAGAAAGCAAGCACAAATCATGGACAAATGCATTGCTATGAACAGCACCCATCTATTGGGCGTAGCAGGCATCCAATTGTACAATTGTGTCCTCTATGGTTGCATAACTTGTTGCATTCTATCTACCTCCATCCCATCCGCTTCCAAGCCACTGTTCCCTATGCTCAAATCCTGACCGACCCAACCGATCTCAACCACAAGCCAAACCCGACCTCCTCCATGACGACTTCCCTCCAACCAATTGCGAACCCGACGCAGCCCTAGCTTCCGCGACTTCCGTGCATGACTCCGACCCATTCCCATCAGATCCTCCTCCCTCTCTCTGCTATATATATATATAGCGGAGAAGATTAAAGATATACCGGGGTCGATTCACTCCCCCAAAGCCCTCGGCCTTCGATTTGATCCGGCCTAGTGGATTAAAAGGAAAGTGCCCTCCCCAACCTCTCCTTATGGGGAGGGAGCGTCGAAAGGCTGCTGGATTTTCAGGGAAAATGCCAAATTTTAAAATTCATTTAACAGGTACCTGGACCGCTAAATGAGACCACCCAAAGATCAATTTTGGGGTTACCCAGAAGACCTTGGCAGTCGAATCCTATTTGGATGGGCGGATTTGAAAGGTGAAGTGCATCTACCTTCATGTGGAGGGGACACTGAAAGGCTACAGGATTTTCAAGGGAGATAAAAATAAATAAAATAAATTAAATAACTTCATTAATAGGTCACGTGCAATTGAGGACACAAAGATCAATATTGGGGATGATTCGCTCCCACGAAGTCCTCGGTCATTGATTTGATCCAGCCGAGCGGATCCGAAAGGGCAAGTGCCCTCCCAACCTCCCCTTGCAGGAGGGCACACCACGAGGAGGCCAAAATTTTAAACAATTAAAATACCACCACATAATTGATTAAAAATAAAATTTAATGAATTTTTAATTATTTTTAAATAAGGCAAAAATGAATTGACTCGAATTGAAATTGACTTGATATATGGTGCATAAAAATCTAGCTTCTCACCAAGATCTCACACTCAAGAAGATAGCAAAATTATTTGACATACTATCAAATCATGAATGATACTAATTACATAAGTAAACCATACACAATAATCAAGTGTTAGACAACTTGATTAAAACATTTTTTGAAATTATAATTTATGAACATGGAAACATCTCTCAGGTGTCACTTGATGTGAAGTTCTGATATATGATACTTCATATAATAGAAATTTTTTCTAACTCACCAACTCACTCCTTTGAGTGTGTTGGTGGAAACATCTCTTAGGGTTTTCTATTTCAAAATGTTTGTGTAGAGTTAAATGCTCACTTCTATAACATTCTATTTTCCAATTAAACACACCCATATGTGCTCGATCGTCACATTTGATTCCTAAATCCAACTGTCTGAGAAATTTGTGCAAGTCAAATATTCAAGTATCGTCCTCTTTGAAGGGATGGAGTCGACCTGACTTGAATTATAAGATGTTTCCTAAATTTATACAAAAATATAAATATTTTTCAAAAGATAATTATATCACTACCCCGATGATAGTCGTGCTGATAGAAAATCTCAATTAGAGGGGAACCCAAGCTTTTAAAAATGCCTCCCAATTTTTTACAAAAATACAAGTAAATGTGTAATCACCCTGGTGATGATCATGTCGGCAGTATATTTCGACCGGAGGGGGCAATTCTCAAAAGCCTATAAAAACTTCAAAATCTAACCATCAAAACTTGAAACTAAGCATATACCTATCTCATTACGGAGACTGCAAATAGTAGTTTAAACGATGAACGCTGCATAAAAACTTCGGACAATTAGCTGCTTCCATTAAGAAGCAATCTTTCAATACTTAACGCATAACTAAATATGCAGATTATGTAGACATTGCAGTGCAGCAATCCTGCTCTGATTGGGGAGTTTTATTGTATTTGTTTTCATTCAGTAATGTAAAAATTAACTTGCTGTGATGATTTAAAGATATATTTATCATCTGAAAGAATTTATCCTTCTATTCAATAGGTCGTCATTTCTCTAGAAACCTTTTATGGTAATATTATACTTAATTTTTCAAAACCTGATTGCTCAGCATGACCTGTTGGTTAATAATAAATCCGCTGAACTCAAGTCACCTTTAACTTGAGTTTAATTAATTTAATCAAATTCAAACTTAAGCTTATTTCTACAAATTCAAAGTGACTAATTTGTAATGAAAGAAAAAAATATATTATTTCAACAATTATTATAATAAAATTATAAAAAAAATAAAATAAAATGTTAATGATAAAAAATCACTTGATATAAAAAATGAAATAATTTTTAAATATTTTAATAACTTTATATTTGAACTCTTGAATTCTAATATATTTTAACCGTATTTTATAATAATATAGTTTAAAAAAGCCTAGTCCCAAGTTAATGAGATAAGAACTAGTTCGAGTTTGACTCATTAGCTCATCAATATCAGCCCGATAAGTAGTCCATAAGCCAAATTCGAGCCGACTCACGAGTCATGAAGAACACCAATATTATGATCGAAGTGTCATATACCAAGCAAAATAAGCAAAGGTTCATGCAATTATATCAATGTGTTTTCTTTAACTAGCATGTTGAAGAAATGTATGCTTGAAGTACCGGCACAATGACAAGTAGGAGCAGGATGATAAAGACATAAACAACTCACTTGCATTCTCAAAAAAGTAGCCATAAAAATGAGATTATTCTGTGCGTATATTGGACACAGCTTATCATCCAGAGACGAATCAGGTGCAGTCATTTCACCCAGTACCGAGCTCAGTACCGAACAAGACTGAGTAGGGGGTGACGTGACACATTTTCATTGGGCTCTGTATGATGTATGGCATCCACACAGAATAATTCCCAGTAAGAATGTCCCCTATGAATCATTAAAATGGGTTTCACAAGATGCAGTTGAAAGCTCAGTAAACAATTTTAATTCGGTATAGAATTTGTTAAAGTTAGGCGGAAGGCCATGAAATTCCAAAAAAAAAAAAAAATCTAACAATGAATATAATATTGGGTGATGAAACACCCCATCAATGAATATTGCCATCTGATTATAAAGAAAGAAAATTACAACAGCTTATAAAAATTAAAATCATATCAGCTCTCAAAAAGCTTTTCTGATGAACAGCAATTTATACACAAAATGCTTGCACACGGACTGCTAGCACATGAAGTGCTGCCAAGAATCTCAACACTAACAAAACCTCAATGGGATCGATAATGATCCAATGACCCAATCCATGTTTATTTTACAGACCTAGTTGACCTAACAGGTAACCACGGAAAGGCTAGCTTGTCATTAAGATGTATTTACTCCTACAAAAATGTTTTGTCCCCCGCCCTCCGAATAACTGGGCAATGTTGAAGTCAATCAAGATAAAAGTGCTGAAGTGTATTGAGAGCTACTGTGTTGATTCTGTAACTGAGCAAGTGGTGGCATGAACCCTCTTGTAGAAGAGAACATAAGCAGCTGAAGACTTTATGCTGTCGAGGGATACATGAGAAACATGTCGGTCATCGAAGTCGTACCACTTGTCCTCTGAATCGTGCTGCAATATTACCATAGCTATCATTACGAGAATCGTACATAGATAATTAGCACAATTCAGCAAGCTATTAAGTTCATTACTGGCGTTACATGATACTTTTCTCTTCTCCAAATAAAGAATGCAAGGTAATCATTGCTTGAAAGGCGTGTGTTGTATTTGTATTTGTGGGTAGGGTTGCTGAGGACTGATAACGTTCATAAATTAAAGATTCCCCCGATGAAAATTTCCTTTAATAATGCTGACAAACCTAGTAAACTATTTGACCCATCCCAGGAGGTGACATATTGTTAGACCGGTCCAACGGGACCGGCTTACGCAAACAGAGGCAAACATTTCCGCCTCCTGTATGCGCCGAACACATGTCAAGGCATGCGTGAGCTGTTTAGGAAGGATTTTTTAGGGAGTTAGGAGAGCAATTTGAATGTAGGGACTGTTTAGGGATTTCCTTTTGATTTGTATGCATTAAATAATTTGTTTTTCTAGGGTTAGGGCATCATGAATTTGGTTGAATTTGAGATCTCTAGGTTTTTAGTGGCATATAGCAATTTGGGAGAGATAGATCCTCCTCTCTAATAGAGGATCTATTGTATCGTGTTATTTTCTTCCATTATATTTGATTCTTGCAATAAAATTAATGTTTTTCAGGTATTCTTTTGAAGTTTGGAAGAGTTTTTCTTGCTGTTTTTTTTTTTTCTGAAATTGATAGGATTTACTTGAAATCTTCAAGTGTTTCCTATCAGATAAATCAGCAAATAATTTGTTGACCCATCCCCAGCTCAGATACCCTTGCAAATAATTTGCTGGTAACCTTAGGAGGTGTTGCAACAACAAAGCTTCTTATAACGTTCTTACTATAAGAGATGAGCTATGCTATAGGTGGCCTAATGGTTAAGCAATTACAAAGCATAAATGAAGTCCAGATTTCAGAGTCTAATTGCCATGAGGATGATCTTCACAATGAGCTATTCATCTTTTAAATAAAATGATGAATGCACTTTGCACTTATGTTCTAGGTTGGTCATATCTATACAAAGAAGCTTCAAACCGTATTGATTGATTATCGATTCTCTATCTTTATTTCTTCTTAGCCGATAAAAGAAATTGCAAACCCATTGGTATTACATGTCCATGAGATATCCATCCATTCACAAAATTTTAAGATGGGCAAGTTTCAAGAATATGTGAATTTCTCCTATTTAAAAAAAACCATATAACATCTGCAAAAGACTTAATTATATAAAAGTAATTTTTGAAAAAAATTCTGCGAAGGAAATAGATCTCATGAAAAGGGCATAAAAAAGCAACTTACATAAACATAAGCAGTATAGTGACCCCCTCCCATGTTCCCGTAGTGGTTGCTAATAGCGTATAACTCATATTGGTTTCTTGGTTCTTGGGTCCTGTAGACAATATAATTTGACAGATCCAATCCCTTGATGGGAAAGTCAACGAGTGTCTCCAGCTTGTTTTTTGTGTACCGGTTATAAGAAAATCTTTTTAGATGAATAACAAGAACATCTGGCAGCCGCCAGAGATCAAGTTTTTTGCTGGCCTGCTGATGCTTCTTGCAACTAGGGCAGTACCTTCAAAATCAAAAATATGTCATTGCCCCTCCAAAAAAAAAATTGGAATAGAAGACTACCTAGCTGTTAGGTCAAGTTTTAAAGTTTTCAAGAACCATTATTATCTCATATTAATCTGCTCATGAAAAAAAAAAAAGCCAACTTCCACAAGTAGTTATCACCATCATCAAGATGCACAATGAACATCAGAAGCATATGAAGTATTTGAAAGAAGAATGTTACCTGCACATTGAACGAAGCTTCTAATAAAAAAAAGTTTCAGTATCCATACATAAGAGTTGGAATAAGCATCAGCAAACTACTCATTGTGAGCTTGGAGAAATTCTAATAAATGAAGTGAGAGCGCAAGAGTTTCAACATTCATAGTTCAGGAATTTCGAACATAAACGATAAACACAGGAATTTTAATATGGAAAATCCTAGAAAAGAAAAATCATGGGCCTTTAATAAGATGTACCCTTAGTTGAATAAATAAATATAGAGATTGTCACGTCAATTCGAATGATTAAGGAATGTAAGTACAATGTTGCCATCAAGGTAGTCAAAATAATGATTGCAAACATCCAACAGTGATGGTGATCACGAATATCATCTTCAAGTGCAATACAAATATATAGCATCGAAGGTGAAAGTGAGCTTTAGGATCGAATGATTGTGGAAACTCCACCAAGAGTAACTCTAACAAAGAAATGAAGGGCCAACCAAGTGAGATATGGAGCAAGGATGTGACAAGCCCATAGGCTGTGAAAACAAATGATGAAGACAAGCAAGGAGGCCTCTCATAAGATTAATTTCAAAGGCTCATTATCATTATAGTTAATTATAAATTGTTTTTTTTTTAACCTCTTTAAGAAATAAAGGGCAAACCAAGTGAGATATGGAGAGAACATTCTAATGTAAAAAATCTATATTTGAAATCATATAAATCAACCAAATTAAGAATTTAAAATAAGCCATCAAATATTTAATTGAATCATTTATATTTGAGTGATACTTATTTTTCCAAATGGGAATATACCTTGAGGTGGTTACCATTATGATCCATGGATGAATTTTGGAAGCTTTTGGTGTATTTTCGAGTTTTTCTCCTTGTTTATAGTACTTTCTGTACTATGTATACCTCATTGATTCAATGAAAAATAACTTTGATCACAAGTAAAAACTTGTGTCTACAAGGAAGTGGTACTACCAATTTTTAGATTGATTTATGAATTAATCACAGTTAAGATTTATGACCCCACTCGTATCACGTCTGATGTCATTGCAACATCGACGTCCAACTCCATCACAACATCAATGTTTCAAAACCATCTAAAAATCAAAGTTCGACGCTAGCAATTTTTATCCCACAATCATACCACCTCGTCGTCCTGACACCCCATCATTGACCAACATCATCATCAAAGACGAATGACATTACGCCATCTTTGTTTTAGCCATGCGCGATTTAGAAAAAGATAGTTCACTATTGACACTCGATACCCGACTCTTGATAGCATTGTCGTCTCCCCTCTCGATGCTTAAAATACGACATCAACGTTCAACTCTCGATATCCTAATATTAATCATTTTAAATATAAATCCTAATTAAATGATTTATTATTTTTCAATTGTTCTTAATATTATGCTTTCTCAATTTCTATACACTATTTTTTAAGATATAAAAATTATAATACCGTATCCAACCCATGTTTATGTCCTATATTTTTAATAATTGACATGTCCCGCGTTCATGTCGTGTATGTGTCACTGATTCCGTGTATGTCCATCATAGACCTAAAGGCAATGGAATTGAAAAGAAAAAGTGTGATGGCCAAGATTTTGAAAACCAGACTGGACATAGAACTGGAAAAGGAGAGGTAAAGGGTTCAATGGTAGAACCAGATGACATAATAAATATGAAAATTATTTAAATAAAATTTATATCTATAAATTATATATTAAAGTCATATTATAAATTTACATTTATAAATTATTAAGGTTAGATCATTTATTATTAATAAATTATTAATTAATTAATTTTATAGTGCATAAATAATAAATGAAGTATAAAATTTATTTAATATTATTAATTAAAAAATAAATGCTATTTCTATCATAAAAATTTTATTTAGTACACACTATAGCACTATAGTAGCCTCACACATTGACGTTCTCAAGAAAAATGTTTATGTGAACTACTAGTGAATAGGGAGGGAGCATTTGACCAAATCAAAAAGCTTATGACTTCTTCCACAGTATTAACACTATCTGGTTTCATTACAGCCTTTTGAGGTTACTTGTGATACCACAAGGGTAGGTATTAGAATACTTAGCCAAAAAAATCATCATATAGCCTACTTTAGTGAAAAACTAAATGATCCTAAGCAAAGCTATTCTAAATATGATAAAGAGTTATATACTATCATTCAATCTCTCAAGTAGTAGAGATATTTTTTATTACAAAGAGACTTCATATTATAAAATAATCAGCATGCCCTTAGGTTTATCATGGATAGAGTTTTCATAGGACTACTCTTTTGTTCCCCAAAAAAAAACCAGGTGTTCAGAATAGACGTGCATATGCACTATATAGGGTTAAATTAGTCATTACTTTTTTAGAGCTTTAGGTTCCAAGATTTGATAGACTTAGGGAAGCTTATGCTACTTGTCCAGACTTTCCTTTAATCTACCATGAACATAAAATAAGTCAATAGCTTTTATGAGTCACTCTGTAGTCTCAGATGAATATTTGTTTAGATAGACATATATTCCTAGGACCTCCACAAGAGATTATTCGTTATTAGAGCAACAATATTGAGTAATAGTAGGGCATGTAAGTAGGGAGAAGACTATTAGTTTTGTAGAGAGTAGATTTTATTGATCTACATTGAAAAGGGATGTGTATAGAATTGTCATCTCATGTAATACATGAAACTAGGCAAAAGCAGCAAAGAAAAAGTCAGAAAGATATACTACTCAACCTATCTGTAATAAACCTTGGGAGGACCTATCTAGGGGTTTAAGTGAGTCGAGTCGGCTCGAGTTTCAACTCGTTAACGAGCTCGCGAACCGAGCTTATCGAGCAGCGAGCTCGAGCTTGAGCTTGATGAGGCTCGGCTCATGAACTTGTGAGCTCGCGAGCAGCCTCGAATCTCTATTTATATTTAAATAACTATTCTTTTCTTAAATTTAAAAACCTACACGTTTGAAAAAACCTACACATTTTCTTAAACTTAAAAACTGGCTTGTGAACCGCACATAATAAAGATTATATATATATAATATTAATTTGATGTTTTCAAAACTGCAGTAGGTTTTATTTGAAAAAATCTTCATGCTTTAAAAAAAACAGCAATAAAAAAATCTGTAAAGATAATTTGATGCCTTCATTCATCCTACAGCATCCACACGATTTTCAAAAAACATTAATAAAAAGTTGTAAATGTTAAAAACATTAAAGCGGAAACCATTTCTTCTTCTTCGGCCAAGCAAGCTTCTTCTTCCAGAGTGATGGAGGCGAACGACTCGCTCGAACTCAAACAATGCGGACAACCGCAGAGGCTCGCGAGCCGACTCAAGCTCGTTTACAGTGGGACGAGCTCGAATTGGAGCTCGCTTTCCGACTAACGAGCTGAGCTCAATAGTGTCAAAACCTTGGGAGGACCTATCTAAGGATTTTTTTAAGGAGCTTGTTAGACTACATGGGATGCCTAAGAAAATAATTTCTAATAGGGATGAGATATTTATTTCATATTTTTAGAAAATCAAATGATAATTAATGGGCATCTCACTTATATTATTTTTAACTTTCACCCACAAATACATGAACAAATATAAGTTCTTAAGATCTTCAGTGGGGAAGAACCTTTGATAATGGGCATTTACATTCAACGTTTTAAAAGGCGAAATCGAAAATCGAGGTGTTTTGGCTAAGCGAGGTGAGTCGTAAGCCTCGAGGCGGATCGAGGCGTAAGCCTCAAAAATTATAAAAATAAAGCAATATAAAATTATGAATAATGACAAAAATGTCAAAAAATAATAAAATATTACGTCAATTGTGAATTTGATGATTTGTTCTAAGACAACATTAGTATATTACTGGAAAAGAAGATTTAAAATAAACTCATTTAAAAATAAAACATCCATTTAGGATCAAGACCCAATACAGGCACATCATCACTTTGATTTTCTTAAGAAGAATCTTCATAATTAATGTCAAAGTCATCCTCAAACTCTTTTTCATCTATAATATTTTTTCCTTTATCATCTATATCAGTTAATATTTCGTTAGCTCTAGAATGAAACAATAATAGCATAAAAAAATAATTCATTATATTTAAAAATACATTTGAATTTTTTGAAGCTCCAATCTCACTTTGTTTCTTTCTTTTATATGCATGAGTAGTTACTTCACTATCTTCATTGACTTGAGTTTCTCCTTCTACTTCAACTTCAGAAACATCAACATTCTTAGGAGTAACTCATTCATCAACATATTGTAAATCATCAACAAGTAAAGGGTCAATTTCATTATCAATGCTTCATTGCTTCTGTAATTTGAGATGTCTATCTTTCAGTTTTTTGTTAAACATAACATAAACAAGTTTGTTCATTCGATCTGTGGCCAATTGATTTCTTCTCTTAGTATGAATTTGATTGAAGATGCTCCAATTACGCTCGCATGCAGAAGCCGAACAAGTTAGGCTAAGAACTTTAACTGCAAAAGCTTTCAATTTAGGAACATCATCTCGGGGTCAAAGCCCGGTCAGGTCGTGGGGTCAAGGGGCAGTGCCCCTGCGGGGCTGCCCCCGGAACAAAATTTTATTATAAGAGTAATTTTGAAATTTTGCTTGTTGTAAATGCTCAGTACCGAGCAGTATATGCTCAATACCGAGCATGTACCGCTCAGTACCGAGCATGTACTGCTCCGTCATGAGCATGTACCGCTCAGTACCGAGCATATACTGCTCGATACCGAGCGTGTACCTAGTGGTACCGAGCGTGTACCGCTCAATACCGAGCATATACTTGCTCGGTACCAAGCGGTGCTGGCTCAGTACCGAGTATGTACCTAGCAGTACCGAGCATGTACTGAGCAGTACCGAGCATGTACTGAGCAGTACCGAGCATGTACTGAGCGGTACCGAGCTTGTACTTGCTCAGTACCGTGCATTACTGAGCGGACGAATGAAAGAAAGTTGAATCAGGAGTTATTCAAGCTTTCGTTACTGCACCTCAAAGTCAATGCCACAACACCGCTCACCTGCTCTTCCGACCTAACCGAGGCCTGAACGTTTCCTGCACTCACAACTTCGGCTTCGTTTCCTGCTTTAGAAATTGTTATGGCTTTTGGATTCGTTTCCTGCGTCGTCTCCTTCTGACTTCGTCTCCTGCACTCACGGCTTCGCCTCTAGTTCACCTTTCAATTCTCACAGGAAGCCCTAATCCTATATGCAAATACACAAACACGAATCGGCTGCGTCGTATTTACATATATACCGAAGAAAAAATTTCGAGGCGGTACCTCATACTGCTTCGATGCGTACGCCTTGTGCGAAAAAATCGTAGGCTTCGCTGGATGGTTCGAAGCGTAAGCCCTGATACGCATGACTTCTGCCTCGACTTAAGGCGCGACTCAATGCGGACGCCTCGTCCGCTTTTTTAATGGTTGATAAATACCTATTTTCTCTTTTATTTCTTGATAATGTATGTAAACATGTGTCTTGCTTCCGTATAAATCAATATTTAGATTTTATTATTGTAAATCAGTTGGTATGACTTCATTGTCATTATCCACAAATCATTTATCATCAAATGGCATGTCATGAGAAGACAAGGGATCTTTATCATCTTTTAAAGCACTTTTCTTCAAATTTTTAACCTTCAATTTCGTGATGTACATAATATAAATCATGTTCATCCTAAAGGTAATAATCAAATGATTTCTCCTTTTGGTATGAACTTGATTTTATGTAGCTCAAATTCAAATGACAAATATGTAAGTCCCAACACTTTAATAGCAAATCAATATAACTCATGACTGACATTATTAAATTAGATCGAACATTAAGCTAAATTTGAGAAGAAAAAAAATACATTTAAAATTAGAATAAAAAAATCATTCTTTATCACAACTAATAAATATTAAAAACTACCAAGAAAATATTCTGTAATTATATATTTTGCTTGTTGTTATCCAAATTCCAAAGAATCCTTCCCCGTTTTTAAAATATATAAGTTGCATGACTAATGATAGAGCTAAAATTCCAACTTCTCAACAATGATTTCCCAAATCTTCTTGTGATTGGACTCATCTCCTCCTAAACATGGTTTAAAATTGTGCAATATGAGGCTAGCCTTGAGGCCCGCCTTTGCACAATTCCTCTAAAAAACGCCTCGATGCTTACGCCTCAAGTTTTTTTTATGAGGCTTGCGCCTCAACTTGGTTGAGGCCAGCCTTGAGGCACGCCTCGCCTCACTGGCATGAGGCTTACGCCTCATGCTATATATATTAAAACTTACATAAATCTTGAAGTAAATGCCCGACATTGGACTCTATATGAGAGGAGGAAGGGGAGAGAGCAATTCATCATAATGATGATTCAAATGAAGAACCCCTTAGTGATGACAGTGCTGATGACTTATGAGTTCTTATGTGATATGTCATTGCTATTTATTTTTGGAAATTTGAATTATATGTTAATGAAAAGAATACTGGGATTTGGGAAAGATAGAATTTTGAGTTGAACTATATTTCATGTTGTCTTATTATTGGGATATTTTGGTTTCATTTAATATCTTATGTTTTTTATTATATTATTCACTCATTAGTATATAAAAAATTTATCATTTTATGTTACGCAATCTTTTGATTTTGAGGCTTACGCCTCGAGGCTTACGCATCGCCTCACGAATTAAAAACGCCTCAATACCCGAATACGCAATTTTAAACATTGCTCCTAAATAATGAGTTATCGACTATTTAGCCTCATCCATTGCATTATAAATGAAGCTCATAGCTGACTTTTCTTTGCACCAACCATCCTTAAAACTTGTACTAATAGCCTTGTTCTTGTTACTACAAAAGTAACACTTAACCAAAATCTTTCATTCAAAACAAACTTCCTAATTTCTTCCTCCCAAAATTTCTTTTCTTAAACATTATTAAGCTATTGTGCGAAAGTGAACATGGACTCCAAAGGTCAACTTGGTTCCAACATACTTTGTAAAGTCAAATATTCAGTAGCAAATCTAACTATAGCAGATCGTAAGAGTTTCATTATAGAAAATTTTCTCATCAAAGCCAAGGCCCATGAATGATTGTAGATGAATTTGCTTATCTTCTTTTCTTTGCTCAAGGCATTCTTTTGCTAAGGCAAGTAACCAAAAATTAAATATATACGAGTAGTTCAGTATAGATGTTTTCCCTTTTCCATCAACTTGTTTCCAGTTGCCCTATAAACACTAGCATTATCTGTCATAACATGCACCACCAAATGCTCTCCAATATTCTCTATGATTTAATCAGTAAGTCCAAAAAAGTACTTTCTATCCTTCACTTGATCAAATGCCTCAATAGACTTCAAGGAAAGAATGTCATATGCATTGTTAATCAAAATATTGATCAAGCTTTTATTCTTGATATCAGACTAACCATCAAGCATATACACTCCAATCTAATAACAAGTCATCCTAATCACCTCAATGAGCTTTTTAACGTTGTTCAACACCTCCAATACTCATGCTCTCAAATCATACATAGATGATGGTTTTAGGTCACAGCCATATGAACATATGAAACGGGTCATGGTGAAATAAAAGGCGAGGTTGTTACAATTAAAGAAATAGTATTCTTATAGAATAACATTATAATATCCATATGTACCTATCTAGCGTTTTTAGGAGACATCCTTTGAGATACCCTCTCCTTATTTTTATCATCCTCTATATAGGCCCCCTTGCACCTCTACATGATAATTGTGGCAAAGAAGATGAAGAATATTTGCCACAAATCCCACTTCCATAATAAGAACCAACATCTATTCTGTCATCAAAATGTCATTATTCAAAATCCTAGACATTGCCACCTTATTTATACATGCATAGATCTTCACTTTCACTATCTCTAACAACTTAGCACATGATGCAACATTCTTGTGAGAGAAAAAATAAGTGCTCTTTCATGGATTTAACACCTCCTTTCACAACATTTTGATAGGAAATACTTAGATCCAAGTATTCCTATCGCTCCACGTGGAGAAAACAACAAGAAAGTTGCTGTTTTCTACAGGAATTCAGCCCAAAACGTATGAAAACAGTAGAAAATCGTAGGAAAACTGAGAGAAAAACGTTCAATGGACTTATATTCCACTAGTAGATGATCAAAGCAAAAGCAAGATACAATGTTCTTCGATTCGAGAGGAAGAACAACTCTCCGATCTTCTCCGGCAACGCCAAGAGCCCAAGCAAGAAAACCCTAGATCTCAAATTACATTCAAATTCAAGATGCCCCTCTCTCCCTCCTAATCCTCCTAATTAACAATAAAGGATTCCTACAAATTACCTAAACACCCCTTTGCATTCAAAAATTTCCCTCCCACCTCATTAAATCAGCCCCAAGTGGGGTCCACCTTGTCCGCCCCCTCCTCTGG